ACTATCTCAACCAGTTTGAATCACCAAACAAAAAGGGGGAGGAGGAGTTGAGAGGAGATGGTGACCAGATGAAAATCCTCAACCACAATATATTGTGGAGGTAGATGTAAGGAATAAGAATCTCCTTCTAAATGTGTTTTTAGAACCAATAACATTATTTAGACTCTTGAATTGAGAGAAAGAAAGGCAATCCCAGAAAATATTTCTTCATAATAAGAATAGTTTCATGTATACATGTTTCTAGCACACACATCCAGAATGTTTCCATGATGACAGCTCATTATCCATCTCTGTTTGTTCTAACACACTGTGAGGATTATATGTGTAAGGAATCATTTCATTCTGTATTTACATGCAATTTTTGAGCTACTTTTTCACACTTGGTCCTCAAATAGCAAGCCAATTTATATATTTTACTCTTTGTGTGTGTGTGTGTGTGTGTGTGTGTGTGTGTGTGTGTGTGTAAGGGAATAGAGAGGAGTTGATTCTCAGACCATTTTTTTCAGTTGATCAAAAAATGATCAACTGCTATGGGTCTAATTATGTAAATCATCTGTAACAGAAACTAGTGATATTTCATAGGTACAGATGCAAAACTGAAGTCAGATATCAGTGCTTAGCTACTTAATTTATTTGACTTTTCTTTCTATGTGCCCAATAACTTAAAATACCTAAGGGTACACGTCTCTAATGATGACCACAACCCTTAAAAAATTGTCAACTTTTAAAAAATATCTAATTGTAGCGAATTGTAAGGTATCTCCTACCTCTTTAACAGTTCGACTGCAATGAGGTACTTAGAGACAAAAATGGAGGTTGAAGGTGAGTGAAGCCTATCTACTGTGTGGTTCTATCTGATCTGAGCAATTTATATAGTAAGTATAGAGGCATGAGTACAAAGTATGAATCTTTGTTGGACCCATGAGGCTGATTCTTGCCTTACAACAGCCTTTGAATATCCTTGCCTGACAAACTGTGCTCATATTACAAGCTATGAGCATAAAGCATTTTTCTTTTAAGGCGGCATTTCAGGTACATAAAATATCTAACTGGCAAGATGAGGTTACACTAAGGGATACTAACTTTTTAATTCAAGGCTCAAATGTACTTAGCTTCATCCATAGGTAAGGAGGGTAGGTCAGAGGTAAAGCAGTTTTCAAAGCCAATGAGTGTAAGTCTTTGATCCCTGACCTTTGACTTGTTCCGTCTCTTTGAGATGCTCCCTCTACAAGGAAAAACCAAAAATTAATGCTTATTTTTAGCAGGAAAATTGAATAAATGCACTCTTCTGTGCCAAACTGTGATAATAAAGCTTGGTACTTGTGTTTTAATTAAAACATGGAAGGGGATTCAAGTACCAAAATTTAATTGAAATGTTTACTGCAGCATCCCATGTGCCAAATTAATCCACAAAAATATCATTCTTCGAATTTCTGAGTCTTGAATCCATTCATAAAATTAATCAGTTTTGTTCAGTCACCTTAATATCATGTCACTCTTCCTTAATATCATGCACAAAGCCATGTCTTTTCCAAACACAGTGCTGGAGATCCACTTAGCGTGTGAAATGTTCCTAGAGATTTAGTTGAAAATCAAAATCATCTCCAGAAAAATATATATATATATGTATATATATTTTTCTTTATTATAAGAAAAATCAAGAGAATACCTGGATGCTGCATCTCTATTTCCTAAAAGGTATTCTTTGCACATCAGCATGAACTCCTACTCAATTATGAGTAAAAGACTCTCCCTAGGAGAGAATTTAGTTGATCTGCCTCAGCTTTAATAAGCCTGGGCATGTAGTTTCTCTTCTGAGAAGTGAAATCATCATCACAGACATGACATAGCAAAGCAGTCATACCCATTTCCCAACACTGGGAACCTGGGAAGACAGACCACAGGAACACTACAGGCCACCTTAAGTGCTGCCAGAATGTATATGGGAGAAGAGAATAATTGCCCTGTTCAAAACTATATTCTTTTGAAACTAACTAAAATTAAACTGACTAAAATAAAGGATCACTCCTCTTCTGCGCTGGCATATTTCTTTCCCAAAAGAAGAGCTGAGTCATTTATCAATCCCTTATCCTCTGGGAACCTTAGCAGTTTCCTGAGATGAGACCCCCTCCTTCCTTCCCTATACCTCCACACAACTCAGAAATAACTCTTGAGAATTTAAGTCTTCAGAATTCTCAGGCCTGTCACTAGGAATTCTGTTATCAGGAGTGTCAGAATTTCACACTGCCTTCACACAAATGTCTGTGGAAAGTAATTCTGCTGGAAAAGTAAAACATAGGAGAAAGTAAAGTCCTCTCAATTAATCAACAAACATTTATTAAGCACTTACTGTGCCCCAGACACTGTGTCTCATTGGAACTCTTATAATATTGATGGACTCTCAGATTGCTTTTAGAAAATGTCATTTCTGACCTAGCATTCCTTATGTGGAAATTGCAGAAAATTTCCTCACTAGAAAGTCTCAACTCTACCTCAGTGATGATGATGATGATGATGATGTGGAAATGTGGCCCAATGATGAAGATGATGATGATATTGAAAGGTGGCCCAATCCAGGACAAAATTGATGGCCTTGTGGTCAAACATCTGTTGTGGCTAATTTTGCCTTTTTGCTTTTTTCTTACCTTTTTCTTACCTCTTACCTTTTTCTTATCTTAACACTCCCACCATAAGGTCACAGATAGCTACAGTACTGTTTTCCTGGCCTCTATGTTAGAGTTGGCTCGTTCACTGCTTGCCTATTTCTTCCATAGTGTCATGGGCTCCAAAAAACAAAATAAAAAAAAAAAAACCTGAGACTTAAAGTATAGAACAGTCATGTCAAACGTGGCCCTTGGGCCATATGCAGCCTACCAAACTTCTACCTGTGACTGAAACCAAATTAAAATGTAATTGGAAAATGTTTAATAAAATAAATAAAAATATAATACAATATAGACAATGCTAATTTGTAGTTTTTCTAGGTCAATGCGTGGTCCACAGGGTCATTTCTATTTCAGTTTGCATCACTGATGTAGAGGATAGAACCTACTGTTCTTCTTGGTCGCAGCGCTAATCCTCTAAGTGACTTTGGAAAAGGAACTCACCTTATTTCACTCAGTTCCTTTGACTTTCAAGTATGTAAAATTATGTTGTCAAGGCATCAATTCAGAAGGCTATTTTAAAGGCTAATTATTTGTTCTTCCATAGATAGAAGATATTATATTACTTACTATGAAAGACCATACTATGTGTTCACCTTACCATAGCATGTCACACGTAGTCATTGGGGTGTCCTCTTGTTTACCACAGCATGTCATGTGTGGTCATGGTGCCATCCATATCCCACTTCCATGTATTATTGTGAATCCACCACCCACCAGGATGAAAAAGTCCACAAACAAATCTAGTATGTGGATGTTCCTTTCAGAGGGAAATAGTATGCCTTCTTTGGAGGCCACATCCTATTAGGTACTAAAGTAGGGAAATCTGAGTTTAAGCCCTATCCCTGATACCTGCTAATTATGGGAGAGTGGACAAATCACTTAAGCTCTCTGAGCTCCAATTCCCTCATCTATTAAATAGGAATAATAATGTTCCAACTACCTACCTCACAGGGTTGTTGTGAGGAAAAGTACTTTGTAACTATTAACGTGATAAATAAATACAATCTATTCTGTGGATGTATTGCTGAGATTATGCGGTGTAGGCTTGGGGAAGATATGGGAAGTGTCCTGTGAGTTCAGTAAAGGGTAAGGCCACATATAAATAATTACTTAGCCTTACCTCTGCAACCTCATATATCATAGAACTTGAAGAAGACTAACCTAACCATTAGTCAGTAAGTCTCCCCTATCTATCCTTTTTCTGCTCAATTCACAGAACTTAACCATCTGGTTTCAGGAAAGGAGGAGAGAGAAAAGTGGCAAAGAGGAGTAGGGAGGGTGCTGCCCCTTAAACTCCATCCAACTTCTCAATTCCCAGAAATCTCTCACTTAAGCAGGGGATAACCTTACAACTTTTATTCCATCAGTTCTTATCACTCCATTAAAATACTTTAAGATCTAGGAATTTATGGTGCATAGCCACAGAGTTCCTAACCATTTGTTTAGCTTATAACAATGGAGATGCCTGCCATTCGCTCCAAATTTCTTAGACTATTTTCTCCCACTGAGATAGAATAGGAAAATAAAGAACTGTAAATAATATTCACTTTTAAAAGTAAATAATTTCTTATTTTTTTCCTAAATACATTTTTCTGGGTGTAAGGAGAAGACAGGCAGTGAAAGAGAACCAAAAATACCATTCAAGCAAATTTGCCAGTAAAATTTTATTTTAGGCACACATCTGTTGTTTCAGCTGCCAGAGAACAGGGGGGAAATGGCATACTTTCAATTCATTTTATGAATATGAAAATGGAGTTTAAAATGCATTTCCTAGTATCTTCCATTTTATAAAGAGTTTGGGGGATGAGAGTTCATTTAGCCCCAAGCATATTTTATCAAAGATTGTCAGGAAGGAAAAACTCCACATGAACCCCATAGAGAACAAATTTAAATCCAACTATTTCTAGTTTTCAAAAGTTTCAAAACAGGAATTTTCATCCGTTATATTGCTTCTCCTCAGAGATTTGGATACATCCACGTCACATCTTGATCACTGTCATTAGCAACTCCGCATTAACCCATCTCTCAATATACGATGCCACACTGCCTCTCCTTAAGTCAGGGGGCCCACAAGAACTCTTTGTGTATGCCAGGAGTACTGTCCAGCATGAGTCAGTGCCCTTTGCTGGACACTGCTATTCTGGGGACTAACCTCATTTTGGAATGTCTAATCTTTGTCACTGTAGCATACTTTTTCTTCCTCTGTGCACTCCACCAACTCTGACAGCACTGTCATTAATCATATCCATGGAATTAATCACTGAGATGTTCAGTTCCTCTGGGGGCCAGGGAGAAGGCAGGATTCATTACTCAATGGTTTCTTCTTTCTACTAGGTCCAGATTATAAAGAATTGGATGTTCACCTTCGGAGGATGGAGTCTGGATTTGGCTTCAGAATCCTTGGAGGAGATGAACCTGGACAACCTGTAAGTTGATTCTACCTGGCTTCCCCCATTATGTCTCTGTTGTCTATGTAAATATCAGAAAAGATCGTGCCTTTTAAGGCTCTGAAAGGAAATAGCCTTTCAGAACTCCAAGAAAAAGAAAAAAAAATTTATGGTCAATTGGAAAAGACAAATCTTTCAAAATGTCAGCATGTCCATCTCCAATAAGCCATCGTGAATAATTTGTATGCAGTTAGAAAGTACACACCTATACACTCCTCTTCCTTTAAAGTGGATTGGATTTGTTGTTTGTTTCATATCATTCAATTATTTCATTGTATTGAAGTACTAAATTTCCCGGAGAGCAGCCTATGATTAAACCTACAATTTGATGAGGATGTGTATAAGAAGGCTATTTTTGGAAGTAAGCTGTAAATGTTTATAATTTGAAAACAAAATATATCAATCAAAGGTTTTTTTAAGAAGTAGAATTACATGTGACATTTTGACTGAGAGACAGCGAGGCAAAGAATAAAGTGGTTAAAATCAAGCAGAATGTCATACAATCCCCCATGTGATTATTTTTAAGGTATGAGGGATGAGAATGGAGGAGGAAGGAATCTTCATTTGGCATGGGGTTGGGTTTATGAGGAACTTGGAAAAAGCACTTGTTTGGCTATTAATCATGTCAGTGTGAAAGTCTGTGTACCTCTCACAACTCTGGGTGGATAAGAGGCTATTTAAAAGGGGAAAGAGATTGATTAATGCCTTAGAAAATAAGTTTAAGATGTCAAAATGTGTCTAAAGATAAAATGTGTCACAGAAGTTGGGCTTAAGAATGCATATTAAAATGTAGACTAGAAAATGACTTCTAAAAATGTGTTTTGCATAGTAAGAACTGATGGATTGAGCCAAATCTTCAAGAACTTTATTTCCAATAACTCTTACTGTCCAGCAGTAGAATGGGCTGATCTGTAGGGATTGAGCTTCTGTGTCCCTAAAGGTATTTCAGTAAAGGCTGACCAATTCCCATGGATTCTCTAGAAAAGCCTTCCACACTATATTGCAAATTGGACTCGATTCAATTAAATTTGAGTCAACAAACTTTAACTGCCATACTGTGCACAGAGCATCATTCTAGGCAGTGGGAGAGATTTTTTTCAGTTAAACGATACATGGCCAAGAATCTTACTTGTCCTCATTTAAGTAGCGTGAGCCGTCATAACTACCAGTTTGGTTTTTTTACTTCCTCAGGCACATGCTTCCTCAAACATGTACAGATCAAGGCAAGGCAAGAAGCATTTATTGAGCAATTACTGTGTGCCAGTTAGTCAGCTAACATTTATTAAGTGCCTACTATGTGCCAGGTACTGTGCTAAATGCTGAGAATACAAAGAAAGGTAAATAACAGTCTTTGTTCTTAAAGAGCTCCCAATCTAATGAGGATGAAAAAACTTGTAAACTACCATGTACAAACAAGATAAGTATAGGATAAATTGGGGATAATCACTAGAGGGAAGGCACTAAAACTAAGGAAACCTGGGAAAGGTTTGAAGAAGGTAAGACTTTAGCAAGAGTTAAAGTAAACAAGTTACTTCGTGTACAAATCACTAGGCATTTACAGTCTTATGGGCAAAAGAGAACTGAAAAAGTTGGTGTGGGGTTGAAGATATCTAGCATAGGAGCATGGTATTGAAGTTCACAAAGTCAGAAGCATAGTTGTGAAGGAAATGAAGGCTGGCCAGCCTAGAATCTTTCCCAGAATGGAAACCCTAGGAGGAACTTGCCAATGGGAGAAAGTGGCCCACATAGCAAAGGCATGGTCCTGGATTAAAAGGGCAGTAGGTAAGGGATGTTCCACGGTATGACTCCAACTGCAGCATGGCTTTATAGCCCCTTCCCAAAATGGAGACCTCAAGAGTAATTCACCGATGGGAAAAGGAATGTGAGAGGTATTCTCACATCAACGTGTAGGACAAATTTTTTTGATGAGAAACATAGACTCAGGGTAATTTGAGGTTTATGCTGGAGGGAGCAAAGTTGCTGGCTTGATCCAAGAAGGAACTTCCCTGGGTTGTAGGTGATAGAGGAAGAGGGAAGAGAAGTCATTGTTCTCTGATAATTTCTTATCTTAACTTACTTATTCTTGCTAACTAGATGCTAAACTCATTTCTTTCTATGCTGTTGAACAAAAGAATATAATTGACTGATTGACTGACACATTCAGAAAACACCTAGTTGTCCTGTCTTAATTCTGTTATTGTATCTTCCAACAATATATTCTCTGATCTGATAAGGATGATCTGGGAATTTCATAAATAAGAACCCTTCAGGAAAAAACACTGCCTCTTTGTACCTGGCAGGAAATTTAGGACCTGTCAGCCTTAGAATGTCACATGAAAAAAAAAAAAGAAAGAAAGAAAGAAAAAAAGAATGTCACATGACCTAATTTATCCTGATGTTGCACAGGAAGAGAAGAGGTAATAAGGTAAAATAAAATTAAGACAGTGATTTGCATTCAGAAACACCTCTACAGTATTTACACATGTAATATACATATATATATCATATGTAATATATGGTGTAAATCATAGCTCCTTATAGTCTTCTATAGCCACCTCCATTAATTGCATGTGTATGTTTTGGCTCTTCATTTAGATTGTAAACTCCAGGAAAAGCATTCTTTTTTTGCTCCTTTAGCACCTTGTCCAAATAGTGTGTAGTGTTCTGTGTGTACAATGCAGGTACCATTAATTAATTAAATAATTAATTAATTAAACAGGCAGGAATGTGGAGCATCTATATGACTTGACTGATTTCTGAAGCCCATTATAAATTCACACTTTTGGAGTGCTTTGGGCTCCTGAGGCTTTTACAAGGTCTTCAGGTATAGCTCCATACAGAAAGAATTGCAGTTATCTGATGCAAAGGTTGCAGATACATACATGGCCAGGGCCAGGTCCCAGTTTCCGCACCAGATATCAGTAAAAGAAAGTACTCTGACTCCAAGCTTCCACCCATATTTCCAAGAACAAGAGCAGGTCTATTGTAGGTTATGACTGAGCTATATTCACTTCATATTCAGCAGAGTTTCTAATTCACCTCAGTACCGAAAGATATAAAACTTCATTGTTAGGGAGAGGATGGTGTGAAAAGGATGAACTGAATCCTAAACATTGGGGGTATTCAATAAATGTTAAAGTAATGATAAGGAAGAAAAATACAAAGGTCATCAACTTTACTTTTGTTCCACTCCTCTCCCTCCCTCCAAAAAACCAGCATTTTGAAACAGAATTTAAAAGCATTTATTAAACATCTGCTGCCTGAGGCTACTATATTAGGTATTGGGGAAAATGCAAAATTTAAATAAGTCCATTCTGTAATCTTTACAGTCTTGCAGGAGGGATATGACACAAAAAGGGGGTGGGGGAGGAGGAGAAAGGAATAAACATTGATATAGCAACTATCATGTGCCAGGCACTGCTGGGTGCTTTTACAAATATTATCTCGTTTGATCAAACACACACAAATAAATGTCATAAGATGTACCATAGTACAATGGAGGAGACAATATAGTACAATGGAAAGTGTGCTGGCTCTGAAGTCAGAGGAATTCAGTTTAGATTTTCCTGACACTGGTTTTGTGGCCTTGGGTCAGTCACCTCACTTCCCTGGGCTTCAGTTCCCTCAATTGTAAAATGAAGGAATTGGACATCAAAGATTCTCAGATTCTTCCCCTCTAAATCTATGGGTTTATATAGATACAAAAATAAAGAATGATACTAGGAGAGAGGTACCAAAGGCTATGAGATCTGAGGCAGAAAGTTCATGATTCACTCAAAAAGAGTTTCATAAATTAGGGGGAATTTAGTTAGGATTTAAGAATGGAAATTCATCAGATGTAGGGAGATAGAAAAGGGCATCCTAGGCATGGATGACAGTACAAGCAAAGTCACAGAGATTGAAAAGCACAGGACCTATTCAGAAAATAGAGATGGGAATGATTTGGCTAGGGCCTATAGGGAGGGAGTAGTACCAACCAATCTTCTTCCTCACCAATCAATTCAACCACAAGCCTTATTGTTTGCTGTGTGTCAGGCACTGTCATGGACAATCAACATAAGTATGAATTCAAGGACAAACATGAAACAATCCCTGCCCTCAAGAAGCTTCTGTTCTATCATCATCATCATCATTGTCATTATCATTATCACCATAATCATCATCATCATCATCACCATTAAGGATAACTTAATTGCTCAAAGACATTACTAAAGATGAGGAAGAGAGTCAGCATCAGCTGTAGCTACCTTTCCCTTATTTAGTTCTGCTATCTCTTATGTTTCAGAGTCACAGGAAGAAATTCAGTACTCCCTATAGTAGTATACTTCTTTTTGAGGAGATAGAGTGATTAAACAAATTAGAGGAACAAGGAAAAAATTGCTTTTCAGATCTACAAAAAGGGAAATTTTCATAACAAATAAAGGATAGAGAGGATGATAAAAGAAAAAAGACAATTTTTATTACCTAAAATTAAGAAAAAAAAACTTCACAAACAAAAATACAGCATATAAATAGAAGAGAAACAGGTAACTGGGAAAAATATTTATATCATATCTCAGATACAGGTCTCATTTCCAAGATGTTTAAGAACCTGATTCATTGTTATAACTTACTTCTAACAGAGTCTATGAAAAAGCGGACATTGAGTAGAAATAGAGGACAGAAGCCATATGCTTTGAGATTTAGCAATGATTGAGAGCACATTTAGTGTGGTCTCTGAAAAGAGAGTTCTTACTGTTTCTGACCTAGCACAAAAGCAATTGTATTGACACCAAAATGAGCTGTTTTCCTAAAAATGGAGCTTATGACCAATTGGACCAGTTGTGGTCATATTCCCAGCTTCTTTGCTGTACTCTGCTCAAAGTACATTCAGCGTCGTCATCTTTCTAAAAGTTGGCCTAACCCCAATAGCTCATCTGCTCACTCCAGTAGGCAGGCCTCAAGTATTTGTGATTAGCTTTGGATTACATGGATTGAAGTTTGTCCTTATTGTAATTGTTTAGATTTACACTGGCTTTTTTCTCTCATTTGAATGACTTTAAGCATACTCAAGCTGAAAGTTACAAATTTAACATTTAAACTGGAATGCACAAGATTAAATCCCATTGAAGAAAGTAAAGCTAGAGACTGTCAACTAGAAAATGGGAAAACTTGAAACCCAGCAAACTGAGCCGGGTAGGGAAGAAAGTTTCAGCTGTAAGGAAACCTCATAAGAACTGCCTTCCTCCTTCCATATAATGTACAAGTGGAGATAACATGTGAATCAAATGGGGTAGCCACATTTAATTGTCCAAACACTGTAAAGGAAGCATTTCAGACCTTGGTCCCAAACCACAGGAGGCCCAATAGGTTATAGCTAAAGGGCTTCTGCTTTCATACACACAAAGTGGTACCCATTAAACAAAACAATGTTGTTTTTAGTAAATAATAAACAGCAGGGCTCTTACTCAAACAAAACAGATGGGCATCTTTCCTGCAAGAGGGAATGCTTCTCATTGTTAAATAACAATAGAAAAGGAAAGAAATGAAAAATTGCCCACAAAAATGGGACTTCTACTGTGAGCTGAGAAGAGATGGGAAAGCATTAAGATGGTGAGATTCAGGAAATAGAGCAGTGAAAAAAGCCCCGGACAGCATTAGGAGAAAAATCGTGCAAAAGAACAGAGAGCAATATGTCAATGGAGTTGATTGAGAAAGAGAGCAAGAACAAGTCTGTGAAGGATTTGTTTAAATGGAGGAACCCGAGTCAGGCTTTGACATATGGTAAAGTTGTCACTTCCAACTAAAATAATCAGTGTCATGGAAGTGGAATTAAAGGTGGTGATAATACTACTACCACTAATAATAATAATAAGGAGGAAAAGGAGATTGATAACTAGCATTTACATAGCACTTTATGGTTTACCAAGTCCTTTACTTTATCTCATTTTATTCCCATAATTTTCATCAGGTAGGTGTTTTTGCTATCCTCATTTTACCTGGGGCTGAGAGAGATTAACTGACTTGCCCAAGATCACACAGCTAGTATGCATCAGAAGTCTTGAACTAGGTCTCCCTGACCCCAAGGCTGGCCCTCTGTCACTTCCATCACACTGCCTCTGGCCCTTGTATGTTATGTATTACATTCATTTAAACTTAGAGTTCTACATAAAGGACAGTTATTCTTATTTATCAAAGCCATGTATTTATTAACCATATTTGTGATCCTCTATGCCGTATGTGGGTGATCCTCTATGCACATATATAGAGGCACTCTGCTTTTTTTTCACCTCCCTTCACTAAGGAATTTTCCAATTTTATGGAGAAGAAAAATATCTCTTAAAATTATTTTTAATGTATGTCTGAAATCAAAGACAGTCAGTGAGGAGGCAGGCATGACGCAATGGAAAGAATACTAGAGTGGGAGTTGGAAGAGCTGGTTTCAAATCCTGCTTCTTTTTTTATTACATGGTTGACCCTGGGGAAGTCAATTAACCTCCCTGGGCTACCTTAGTTTCTTCATCTTTAAATGATGGGGTTAAACTAGATGACCCCTAAGATCTCTTTCAACTTTAAATCTATGATCATATTACTTTATTTAAAACATTTATTTACTATTTAAATCACCTTGCATCCATCCTGAATTGGTGTTTCAAATATAATTAAATTATAATTAAGCATTACCATTTGATAGGCAAGTTCTTACTTTGGGAAATTCTAGTCCTCATGAAACTAGTATGGAGGAGAATCATCTTTAAACCCTACAAATAGGGCAGAAAAAAATGGTCTGTTGCTGTGATCTTCCATTTTGCAGTATGTGTCAAAGCTGGAGCACGGGGCATAGCCTACTTTTCCTCCCTTGATGGTACTTAGTATTCTGTTTTCTTTGGGGGCTAAGGGAGTAGTGATTTCCCAATGAGACCCTTCATTGTACATCTTTTGTAAAGACTGCCCCCTTTCCCCTCCAGTTGTGGCCTTCTCTGTGTGTATTCTGTTTGTTGGTTGGCTTCTTTCAGTTGGTGTCAGAATGATTTGTTTGTGGAGAACATTCCCTTAAAAGGCATAATTTACCAACCAGGAAGGAAGCCCATAGCAGTAAGTCCACAAACATTCCTTTCTGCAGGTAGCTAATGATAAACTCTCCCACCAATGTGCACAGGCAATCAAAAGGTCACAGCCGCCATTGCGTGGAGCTACCTAAATGCTTTTTTTGTTGTTGTACAGTGGAGTTGAGTAAACCTTCATTTTAACTGGGTATTGTACAAAGCACTTTTCCAACTCTTTGAAGCACTCCATAGTGAGTTGAGCCTTTTGAAGAATAAATTGGAAGTCTTTAAAAAGAAATTCATAAATTCAGCTCAGCATGACTGGAAGGGAAAAAATGAAGAATGTAAAAAAATCAGGAGGGTGCTGAATTGTGGCAAATTTGGGGGCTGTTATACAGGTAAAGAAGCTTTCTCTAAAGCCAGTCTAAAACAGAAGAATTGTGACTTCCTATAATAATAGCAATGAGTCACTTCATTAAAGCATCATATGCCGCTTCTTGGCCATAGAAGATTCTGTTAGTTTAGTTGTGTGTGTGTGTGTGTGTGTGTGTGTGTGTGTGTGTGTGTGTGTGTGTGTGTGTGTGTGTGTGTGTGTTTCAGGAGCTAGAGGAAAGAATCAGATTCAGTCTGGGAAATGTCTAGGCTTAGGAAAGAAAAAAACCAGTGGCTTGCCTAAGGTCTCTAATGGCCTCGGCCATTGCTGTTAACAATTTCATCATCATTCACCTGACAGTTAAAGGACATAGAACTAATTGTAAATTCTCAATCTAAATACATTGTCTGAAACCAAGTTTTTAGGTCATGACTGACTTGAAGTTTAACTTGGGAGACAGAAGCAGAATCTGAAAGTTTAGCACATTGTCTCACACTTAGTAGGCTCTTAACAAATGCCTTGACTGACTGACTGGATGAATCAAATAAATCAACCAGGTTGTAGGCAAATAATAATTTACATGGGGATTAAAACACAACCCAGAGAATTGTTAGTGGCTCTGGAATTCCTTCAAGTTATTAATAATCACACCACAAAGATAATTGCATCATGACTTATTCACTCAACAAACATGTAGTAAGTATCTGCTGTGTTCATTGCACTGTGCTAGGTGCTGAGATAAACAGTTTAGCTAAGACAGTCCTTGCATTTATGACATTTGCTTAATAGCTCAGTAGTGGGATGAGACACAAACACAAATAATCATGGGAAATCGAAATGAGAACTGACAAAAATCTGTGGACTGGCAAAATTGTTCACAGACCAAATGAATTATTATCAGCAGGATTGAAATATGGACACCTATACCCTTCCTCTTCATTAAGACAAGGTATTGAAGTGAAACTGAACTCCAATGAAAACTGAAAATCTGAAATTTACCCTCCATGAAAATTATCACAAGACTCTAGGGAAAAGTTTTTCCAGACAAGAAGACATTCCTCCTATGTGCTGTGCTCCTTTAGATAAAAAACCCAAGTTGAGAGATTATTCCATGGTGGAAAGAACTGTGAGACTACGTTGTTTTGACTAGGCCATATTGAGTTAAGAGAAAAGACTGGAGCAGGTTTTGTTTGAGAGTTTTTGGAAGTGGTAGACTCTTAGAGAAAGCCACCAAACATATTTTTCTACCTACTTTCGTCTTCCTGAAACACATGCCCCAAACCTACTTCTTTGCTCTGCGATAGCCCAGGCAATCCTTCCTCCTTGGCCAGGTCAGATACATCCAAACAAGAAAATGCTTTTATTGTTTTTAACATCAAATCTTGTTTTAATCAACTTTATTTTCAGGATGCAAAATGAGAATTTGTATTCATACGCTAGGGATAGAAACTTGTCTTGTATCTCCAGCCCCAGTTGTCCTCCATGATGGGGGAGGATATGGAAAGAAGGCAGAGTATGGAATGATGTGTTTATTAAAGCCTTGTTTTCCTTCTCTTTAATGCTCTAGATTTTGATTGGAGCAGTCATTGCCATGGGCTCCGCAGACAGAGATGGGCGCTTGCACCCTGGAGATGAGCTGGTATATGTGGATGGCATTCCTGTGGCTGGAAAGACACACCGATACGTTATTGACCTCATGCATAATGCAGCCAGAAATGGACAGGTGAACCTAACTATAAGAAGAAAGGTGATGTCTGTAGGTATGTTGCTAAAAACTGGGTTAGGGAGTAGAATTATAAAGGAAGAAACCTTCCTAAAAAAAAAAAACGCATTAGGAATCAAAACAAATTATTAAAGTAGTTGATTGTTTTCATTTAGGAAGAATCTTACAGCTTAAACATATTACATGGTTTTTTGTTTTGCTTTGTTTTTTTGTTTTTAATTGCTCACATTTATACCTCAACTACAAAAAAGCCCCACCTCTTACTTATAATCATTAAAGATTTCCAGTAAAGGCTGATGCTAATTCAAAGAATGCATATTATTTAGTGAATGGTGGTTATAAGTGGGAAACCACAGTAGTTGAAAATATATCTTTGGAGAAAAATGGCCCTCGCTATGTATCCCAGCTGAGTTCTATGGCATTGTGACAGTATAATAAGCCAACCAAGAGGGAAAATTGACTTTCATTGTAAGGTCAGATAAAAGGTAGCAGTGAATGTGGTACTCAAATGTAGTAAAGGACAGCTGTGTCTAACTTTGAGAAAACACAATTTACCAAAAAAAAAAAATCACATTTACAGAACAGATAAATCAGAAATAATTATTCCCTCTACATTGGGATTCTTTACTTTACAAAAGGATTCATCACAGACTTCTTTTAAGCCTCCAGCAGCCATATTTATAATATAATTGGACTTAGAAAAGGAAATAATAATACAGAAATCTTTCAAGGACACAACTATTATGTACGTAAAATAAGAGTACATTTATACCTTTATGCTTGATTTTTTTTAAAATAACAATATTCTAAAGATTTGGTAGCATAGCTGTTATAGTGATATATTGGGAAAAGTGCTGGACTGGTAGTCAGTGGACCTGGGTTTGAAACCTGCTTGTGCTACTTATTACCTGTATGACCTTGGGCAGATCACTAAACATTTTGGGGCCTCAGTTCCCTTGTCTACAAAATGAGAAGGTTGGACCCAGCTCTAAGTCCCTTCCACTTCTAAGCCAGTGCTCATCCTTTGATTTGTAATCTGTTATTCCATGATCTTGCTGTTTTCCTTCAGGTACCATATGGCACATCATGACTGAGATTTGCTTAGACAATGATTCTCAGTTGATTGTCCATCTATCTGATAAGACATAAGATAAAACTACCTATCTGACTCCAGTTTAGTTTTTTTTTTGTTTTTATTTTTGTTTTTTGTTTTTTTTTTTCCTTTTGGCAATTGGGGTTAAGTGACTTGCCCAGGGTCACACAGCTAGTGAGTGTCAAGTGTTTGGTCTGAGGCCGGATTTGAACTCAGGTCCTCCTGATATCAGGGCTGGTACTCTATCCATTGCGCCACCTAGCTGCCCCCTGACTCCAGTTTATTTATAAGCAGCACTGTGTGCAATGGAAAGAATATTGGCTCTGGAGTCAGAGAAACCAGGGTTCAGGTCCTACCTCTGGTGGGACCTTGGGCAGATCCCTTAATCTCCCTGGGTTTCTGTTTCCTAATTAGTAAAACAAAGAGGTTGGATTATATATGGTTTCTGAGGTCACTTCAGCTCTAAATCTACAGCCCCCCCCCCAAATACTATGACTTGCCCAACATCACATAAGTAATAACTAAGGGCAGGGCCAGAATTTGAAAACAGATCCTCTGGTTTCAAATCCAGCATTATTTTCTATCACACCATGCTGTTTCCTGTGTCAGAGGCAGGATTTGAACCCAGATTATGTGGGATCAAGAACCAAATCTCTATCTGCTATTCTATACCATCTTTCACTGATATAATATCATTAAATACTAGAGCTAAAAAGGGCCTTAGAGACCATTTGGCCTGAACCTTTCATTTTATAGTTGAGAAAACTGAAGCCCAGGAAAGTGAAGTCACTTGCCCAAGTTATTACAGAGATTCATGACAGAGCCAAAAGGTCTCCTCTGTCCCAAACTAGCTATATTTCTGTTCCCCTGGGCTGCCTCCTCAGAGCATTCACATTTATGATAGCGCCTTTTTTTCATGAGCCTACATCTGATTTAGGGATTCACAAGTGTGTATGTGGGACAACTTTTAATTAGAGAAGTAGTTATCATCTATTTGTGGCTAGAAAAGGTGAGATTTAACAGTCAGATAAAAATCCTTTTCTTTCCTTCTCTCTGGAAACTAGACTTGAAGTTAGAGCAATTACTTAAGAGGGCTGGGCAGAAGACTTGTCAGCCCTCCCCAAAAGACAGCCATATATCTTGTATGGTGTAGAGGTTTTGCTAAGAGGTACCATTAGTCTCCTGAAATTCCTGGCACACCACTTGACCCACCAAAGTAAAACACCTTGAATTATGCCTTATCCTTGGGAGTGATGCCAGGAGGAAGGTAGTGTTGGCTTGGCTACCATTTAACTCTCTCTCTTCCTGAAAAATGATCTTTAATAACAGTCATTTGGAGGTAGGAGGGAAGGTTCCATGTGCTGGGTGTTTGGGAATCCAAACCTGAATTAAAACGATATCTGATTTACATGGAAATATATTGCAAAATGCAAAACTAATGCAGCAACATAATTTTCATGTTCCCCTTGCCTCTGGCTGATTATTGCAAATTAAATTTTGTACTCATCAGCCCAAGCTGTGAGGGTTTATGCCAAATGCTGTAAAGATACATTTGCACAATTTGTGAAATATGCAACTTCTGTGGAGGTGCTCTCTGCTGCAATTTTTTGCGAGCTTTCCAGTTAGGCTTTAAAGTGTAATTCATATTAGAAAATGTTCTGTGACAACTGCTCATTTGTACCAGGAGGTTTTTCTACCTTCTATTCCCTCGTCTTTGAATGTAGCATTAGTGGGGGATGATTGAGCTCGGCCGAGGACACCTTGGTAACAGTAAATGTCTACAGAATGAGTGAAAGAAAGCCACGGGGAAAAGACAAGCCTTTCCTTTGCTGTTATTGTTTCAGCTGGGGAGAGTCAGCAGCCTTGAGTGCTTTTAACTATCTCACTTAGAGAAGGGACACGGATTATTATTATTAATTATTATTATTATTATTATTTTTGCTGAATGGATGATTTCTTGCCAAGCAAATGCAATGACTGGGAGGTACAAGTCCAACATGTGTTCGGTAGGGTCAGGCATTGGAGAAAAGCAGAGCAACCTTAGCTTATAAAAAAGACAAAAGACAATTCAGAGGAGGAGTGTTGCTATGGCACTGGAAATTGGAAATGAAAATAGTAATAATATTAAAATAAAAATAGTCAGTAGGAAAAGGATGCAAGGAGGTTAGCAAAAAGGATTAAACTCTGTTTTCATTCTTAATAGTGATAGCTAGCATTTTTATAGAGCTTTAAGGTTTGCAAAGCACTTTCCATGTGTTATCTTACTCGATCCTCACAACAAACCTAAAAGGTAGGTGCTATTGTTATCCCCGTTTTACAGATTAGGAAACTGAGGCTTAGTGTCACATAGCTAGTAAACGTCTGAGGCGGCATTTAAACTCGGGCCTTCTTGCCTCAACCTCTACAAATCACCTGTCCCCTTGCAATCTGGCTCATACGTCGTTGTTGTTGCTGTTGCTGAGTCATTTCAGTTGTGTCCAGCTCTTCAGGACCCCATTTGGGGTTCTCTTGGCAAAGATACTGGGGTGGTTGGCCATTTCCTTCTCCGGTTCATTTTACACATGGGAAAGCTGAGACAAACAGAGTGAAGTGACTTGCCCAGAGTCACATTAGCAAGCAAGCGTCTAAGGTCAGCTTTGAACTCATGAAGATGAGAATTCCATACTCCAGGTCTAGCACTATCCACTGTGCCACCTAACTGCCTCTGTATTCAACAGAAACTACTCTGTGAAATAACCAATAAATAACCTTCCCATCCAGTGGGTTTTTTCAGTCGTCACAGTCTTTCATCAGTCAAACATCTAACACTGTTGATCATTCCTTCCCTCTTGACCTTCTGTCTTCTCTTAGCCTCCATGCCCTGAATTCTCATAGTTTTCCTCTTCTATCTCTAACTGGTGGTATATTGGATAAAGTGGTGTGGACTTGGAATCAGAAAAACCTGGATTCAAATCAGGCCTCAGACACTTACTAGCTGTGTGACCTCGGACAAGTCACTTAACCCTGGTCTGCTTCAGTTTCTTCATTTGTAAAATGGAAATAATGATAACCTACCACCCAAAGTTGTGAAGATCAAATGAGATAATATTTGTAAAGCACTTTGTAAATCTCAAAGCACTACATAAATGCTTCAAGATGGCTAGGTCGTGCATACATAAGATAGCCGGATTTGGAGTCAAAAAGATCCGAGTTCAAATTCAGTCGCAGACACTTGCTAGCTGTGTGACTAGCTGATCAAGCCACTTAACCTCTCTCAGCCTCAGTTTCCTCATCTATAAAATGAGAAATATAAAGCCTATGTTCCAGCTTTGTTGTGAGGATTAAATGAGATAATATTTGTAAAGCACTTTTTTTTTGGCGTAAAGCACTTTTTAAACCTTCAAGCCCTATATAAATGATATTCTTATTGTTCGGTCATTTCAGTCACGTCTGACTCTTTGTGATCCCATTTTGGGTTCTCTTCGCAAAGATACTGGAATGGTTTGCCATTTCCCTCTCCAGCTCATTTAACAGATAAGGAATTGAGGCAAACAGGGCTAAGCAACTTGCCCAGAGTCCCACAGCTAATAAGTATATCAGGCCAGATTTGAACTCAGGTCTTCCTGACTCCAAGGCCAGTACCCTATCCATTGTGCCACCTAGCTGCCTTCATACAAATGCTAGCTCTAATAACTGTAGGAAGATAATAACGAGTAACAAAAACTATCGTGATAATGATAAAAATAATAATATAAATGCTAGCTATGATCACTATTTTTATCATTATTATGCTGGTTTTGGTTACTGTTATTATTATTATTATCTTTCTCTTTCTGTCCAATAAAAAGTAGGAATTCCCCAAGGTTAGTGCCCTTGATCCTCATCTCTTGTTATACCATCACCTTCGGTAACATCATTCCCTTCCATGACTTAAAATATCATGTATTCTGCAGCAAAGAAGAGGT